GACCAAAGCAGACCGAATGTTATACCGTTTGATAAAGTTATCTTTTCTCTTTCTAACAACGCAAATCGCACCTCTATACGTGCTTCCGTTAAAGAGTTATTCAAGCTACAACCAACTTCATTGTCCGATGAAACGGAGAGTAGCTACAATCGACAACGAACTTGTACTATTTGTCGTCGCAAACAAAGGAGAGGAGAACAGTTAGACCAACGGAGATTACGAGGATCTACATGTGTTTTTGGTCCAACTAGCGGGCAAGTATGTTGGAATAAATCATTACATTCGTACTTTCAATGTGATTGATGAATTTATTTTACATTCTAGTACTATCATGTTGCGTCTGCCATTGGTAGCGACGAAATTACATTTATTGACTATAGCAATTTGATGGCTAAACAACTTGAAAAATTAAACAAATGATTTGAATAAAAGAATTACTTGTACACAAAATATTGCATAAATAAAAAAAGGTTGTCATTCAGATTGTGCATGAATATACATGTCAGAGAAATACTTTATTTTGTTACTAATAATTCTTGATATAAAATAAATAAAGTTTTATTAATGAATAAAGATGAATGTGAATTCTACTACAAGTATAATATTAGTTTTATATGACCTGTTGACTAGCTGAGTTCTTACGTTTCAAGGACTTTATTTAAAGAATTGATTGATGACTGCTTTGCACCGTATTATTCATTGATTAATCATTCAAGCTGTGCGAATATTTTTCAATTGTTGTTGACGAAAGAAAACGACAGTGGGGAATCCTCCGATCGCGATCATTCTTCATGTATTGTGTATTATGACAACTTTTTGTATTAAAAAATTTACATTTATAAAAATGATGTATAAATTTAAATTCATTTCTCTTGTTTCTCACATATAAGAGATTTAGAATAAACTTTATTAGAACCATCATTATCGATCCTTTTGAGTCTTTGAGCCGAATCTATGTTTGAATTTGCCAATGTTTGACCACTTTGGTAGACTATTGAATCGTCCAGATCGAGCTGCTCAGGCTTCCGCTTTCTTTCGCTTCGTGGTTATTGGATTTGGATTGAATACGGCTTCAACAAGACTCTTATCCGCTGATTGTATATGGTTAGCTTGACCATATAAATAATCAAGTAATGATTCACGCTCATAAACGAGTCTAATTCTTATGTTACAGGATCTTGCGAGATGAGGCATTGCTCCTCGTAACTCAGTAAGATATCATGATTGTGAGTAAATAACGGAAAGCAATACTTGTTGACTATGGTTAACGTATAATGCTGAAATGGTTGATCAAAAACAGTAGAATATGAGAGAATGACTTTGACCAGAGAGGAAATACTTTGTACAGTTTTAAAGTTTAATTAAAACAGCATACATTAAGCACTACGTGCAATATTGTCCGTTGCAGTTTTGGCTCTCTTACTTAAAAATTACCGTGCACCTTACTGGACCATAATTAAATTTGGACGGCGATTGTAATGCACTGTTTTTTTTCTCAAAAAACGTAGATAAACGTAACGCTTTTGCGAAAACCTCATTGTTGCTACCATTTTCAGTTTATGTAATTGAGCAATAGTTTTAATATTACAAGTGTGGGATAGCAACTGCATAGAATTCAAACCTGATTTTGACCTTTGGTTTTCTTAACTAGCGACAAATCTCTCTTAAAATTCCAAGGTGCATACATTTTGCCACCCCTCGTTCTACCAGTTCCAATGTTGCTTCAAGAACTAACGTCAAGCAAAAATATCAAACAACTGCACAGAATTGCAGCATGAATTCAGGCCTTCCCACATATTAAAACTTACAACAAAAATACACCCTGACGAAGTGATGAGGTAGGTTTTTTCAATTGTCTGGATAATTGTATCAATGATGAATGCATAATCTGAACGTAACCTTAAACCTCCTATCAATATGCACCTCCTCGCTATGTGTTAATCTCTTTTATTCTCGATCGTGAGTTATATAAGCGTAACCCAATACAGCTTAGTTAAATCATAAGGCAGGTTTAGATATGCACCGATACCGATATTATATCAGTATATCAGTACCGTAGTATATCGTCCATAATAGATTTTCCTTATTTAAAATTTGTGTAGGCAAGTTTTATTGTGAGTCTAACTCCTTCAACTTTCAACGAGTTCGAACGCGATAACTTCTGAACACTTTTCGAATGCACTAAGCTGTAGTACGCGTTACTACTCATTATTCATTTTATTTCACATTCTACTTTACAACCATATGAAAATTGTTTCAGTAGTGATCGCTGATCTAATGCAATACGTGTACTATTACTTTTACATGTATCTATTTGCAGCAGTGCGGAATTGCAAAACTACAATTTCGCTTAGAGAAACCGATTTAGGAATTCCCTTATACTGGTATATTAGTTCTAATCAATGAGTCTTTTTAGTCGAAGTCATGCCACTATCAGATGATTAATCCTGTGTATTTTGACGCCTACAACTATGACTTCTATAATAATAGGCTTAGATTTCTATACTTGTAATGTCGTTTTTGATGAGCCTGAAACACAACACTTTAAGACGAAAAACGTTTTTTTATAATAAAACTCGAGCAATCTTCTTTATTATTTATTTTTATGTATAGTAATGTACAAAAATATCTGTTCTTTCAAATGGCATGTGAACTGATTCCCTAGCATCAATAGTAGAAAGCATATACTAAAAACAAAACTCTCCGTTTATTTGTCGCCGTTTCGATACAACAAAAAGTGTTTAGTAGGCAAAAAAGGTTTTTCGTTCTTTGTACTAAACCTAAAAGGTTTTTGAAACCATTTAGAAAATCGGTCTTGTACTTTTTAAACCTTTTCCGCTTTTTAAAAGACCTTTTCTAATACTAAACCCTTTTGAACGCTTAGTAATTTGGTATAAGACGGAACCCTTTTAGATTTCGTAGACGTGATAAACCCTTTTCGGTTTTATAAAAGACACCTAAAGCATTTTAAAAAACGGAAAAGGTATTAGAAAGTACAAAAACAGTTTTCTAAATGGTTTCAAAAACCTTTCAGGTCTAGTACGAAGAATAAGAAACCTTTTTTTAGGGTTTTATAAAATCGAAAAGTTTTGTAGTTTCCCTTGAAAGTTCCTTTAATACTTTAAAGTGCTAAAGCGACTATCAGATGCTAAGCAGACTATCAGATCCTGGTTAACTTTTGCAGATCTTCATGTCTTTTGGTTGTCCACATTTTCGTTCTTGTTTTAGTCGTACAACAAATATAATATGATATGTGGTTTTTTCCCTCGTAGTTACACATCTACACATTGCTTTTTTCTCTATTGTTGATCTTTCTTCTTTCCCTTCCTAAAAGTTCTGAGTATTTTTTTCATCATGTGCGAATCATTTTTTTTTATTTAATGAGTTGCGGGTTTTTTCCTCAACTTTTTTGCATGTAATATTAAATTTTTATAAGTCAATTCTATCAGATTTCTTGTTTTATTATTATTAAGAAAACAACGGCGACTTTGAAGACAAACTGTAAATCATGTCGAATGAATGGAATGATTTTCAACATGAACAGGCTGGACAAGGTATGTCAAAATCCGATATGTCAGAAATGTATCAAGCTGAACAGAGCGGATCGATCGGTGATAGTGGCAGAAGTGATGAATCAACGGCAATATCTTCAATGACGATTGAAAATGATGATGGCATCGACGATATAACCCTGAATGATGTGGCTGGCGCAAGTCATGATACCGCGGGTACGGATGGGGAAAATGAGCATGATGAAACAACATCGAGTAATTCGTGGAATCAATATCAACATGAACATGCTGGACAAGGTATGTCAAAATCCGATATGTCAGAAATGTATCAAGCTGAACAGAGCGGATCGATCGGTGATAGTGGCAGAAGTGATGAATCAACGGCAATATCTTCAATGACGATTGAAAATGATGATGACATCGACGATATAACCCTGAATGATGTGGCTGGTGCAAGTCATGATACCGCGGGTACGGATGGGGAAAATAAGCATGATGAAACAACATCGAGTAATTCGTGGAATCAATATCAACATGAACATGCTGGACAAGGTATGTCAAAAAGTGAAATGTCCGCCGACTATCAAGCTGGAAAGGACAACACAAGTGATACCAACAATGATCGAGAAACAGACACGAATGTCCAGCCATCATCTTCTGGTGAGTAAATTTTAGACTTTTTGAAAAGTAAAACCTAAAAGCTTGAGAAAAAATACTGCTGTACCTATCTGCTGATTTTTCTCAAATCTAAATGCAAGGAAACTCGCAAAGAAGCATTCCTGATGGAGAAAAAAGGTCACTGTGGGGTACTATATGAAAAAAGTAGGTATATTTCTTCATTTTTGACTTTTCTTTTTGTTTCGGTCGCTCACTTGAGACTGCGATTTATAGCTTCAGTTGTAAAACGAAGAAACAAAGCCACAAGCCTCCGAAATACAACTGACCGTAGATGGAATCGTTCTAAACATTCTAATACAGAAAACAACACCGTTTCAATATTTTACTTAAAAAAACGCATAAAATTTACTGAACTTTAAAATTTTCTTGGAGAAAAAAAGCAGCATTGAAAGCGTATAAAAAATGACATTCTTTTCCACTGCAGTATTCTTAATCTAAGAATCACGTTTCTTCGCTCTCTATTTCTCAGCGAAACGAAAATACACATCGTTTGAATAAGATTTTTAAAATGCAGATAGACAAAATCAGCGTCATTTTCACTGAATGTCTTTTATGAATAGGCTAGTCTCCAATTTTTGTGTTGGTTTTCGCGCAAGAAAGCGAGAATTTATGGCAAAAGTCAACGAGAAAAAAATAAGACAGTAACAAAAGCAGCGAAACTCTCAGAACGAAACTTTTGTAAAACAGGACGTAGAACGGTGGTTTCGAAAGTGAGAACGGCCGACTGTTGTCACTGTTTTACCTATGCAACAAGCAAGTCTTTACCCTTTTTCTAATGCGCTACTTAGTACATTTAGCTGAAAAACGTTTGCCGCTATTCTAGAGAAAGCCTGTTGAACCAGTGTAAAGGCTCATCTTCCTTTTCTTCATTGTCTCACCGACTTATTCACCGTAATGAAGTTTTCTCTTCCCACTAGCTCTTGACCTTGTATTCACCTTTCCTCAAGCACGTATAATAAATTTTTCTCTCTTGCACAGTTCATGACTTCTCGTCCCGCTTCACTCCTTCTCTATCTGCTTTGCTTTGTACATCAATGATAAACTCTTTCCAGATGGTTCACTACTTTTGCGCATATTCACCTTTGTACAGTCCCACCATTGTGAGTTGTATATTAGGAAAGAAACTCGAGAACGGTCAATTCTGTTTACAACCTGGTCTAACACTTTTTCAATCTTAAGTCTACTTTAGCTCAGGCGATTAGAAAAAACTGTTGTTACTATAGATCCACTATTTAAATGTAGAACTTCACAATACGACAGAATACGAATAGAACTGCTAACCAAGTGTAGTAAATGTATTCGACATCTACTAAGTTCCGGTTTCAAATTCCACTTTTGTTGTTATACATACATTTTTGTGCATCTGCGAAGGCATTTTACAACTCTCGACGTGTGGTCACAAAGAAATCTGAATTTTCCCTATTTTTTTTCGTCACCCGCACACACCTTGTTTAAATGGGTATTTTAACGGTATAGCTCGACACTTCAATGCCCACATGCATTTGTCTTTTCCATTCAGACGTTAATACACAACAGCCAGCAGAAAAAGAAACAGAAGGATCTTCATTCCCATCTCCTGCATCGCGTGAAGAGACTCATTTATCCACGAACCAGTGGAATCAACATCAGCATGCACATGGCGGAGAGAACTTAACGCAAGAACAAGTATCTGCTGGATATCAAGCACAAAAGAATACTTCAGATCAGAATGATATGAATACCAGTAACCAGAAAACAGATGCAAACAATAATGTCAATGAAGACACAGACATTGAATCGATGTTTCCATCATCGGGTTCTGGTACGTGAGAATAACGAAAAAACACTAATAGTGATGAATGGATCAGTAATAGAAAAATACATAGCAGGACAAGAGGATGTTTATACTAAAACGTATTCTTTTCTTTTGATTATGCAGATGTTAAAATGCAACACCCCCAGCAACAAACACAAGCGCCGTCATCGACTGACAGTGAGAGTCAGCTCAAAAATGCATGGAATGTATACCAACATGAACATGCTGGGCAGAACTTAACACAGGAACAAATGTCTGCTGGATATCAAGTGCAAAAGGAGAATAATAATAGTCTGTTATCTGATCGAACGGACAGCAGACAAGAATCAAACGAAAATGATCAAAATACTATCAGCACTTCCCCTAGTGGTAAATAAGTAATCTAATGCAAATTTATGTATCTGTCCAGATAGGACTAATTGCTTGTCATATCTCTTCACAAGCTCGCTATTGGCGGACATTATTTCGAAAATCTTACTCTGAGTCATTTTTTAATGAGTAAGATGATGTATCGTTAATTAACAGTTCCATCAAATACGGAATTGATTTCTCCGCAAAAAACTCAATCAAACCAGTCAAGGAACAAATGGAATAGATATCAGCATGCACATAAAGATGAGGCTAAAACAAGTACACAACTGGCAGAAGATTATCACGAAGAACAAGCACAAATCGCGGGTAAATATTAAATTAAACCCATTTGTAGATCTCGTCTAACCGAGTGTACAAACCCTTATACGATCAAGACTGGAAGTAAACGGTTTGCATATAATGTGTTTTTTTTTCACTTTTTAGAGAGTACTAACGTCGCTTCGCAAGTACAAACACTAGCAGAACAGCCAATCACATCTAATAGCACAAATACTTCTAATAATGAACATGAATCAAAGACCAGATGGATTGAATATGAGCATGCACATAAAGGTCAACATTTAAATTCAACACAACTAGCTGAAAGGTATGGCAGAGATCAGGCACAGCAACAGCTACAAGAAGGTCAGTATACGTATGCGCGGGTCTTAATTCAGATCACAAGAAAATGTCGACTGGCTCTTTTCAATCAGTTTTGATTACCAAAGAAATGTATTTATTTTTGGTTTTGGACTTAAAATCATTATT